TAAGGATGGATACAAATTACAAACAAACTCTTGTGTTTGTAAGTGAAACAAACATTTATGTAAAATTATTGTCTATATTTTTTTCATAACTTTACTTCTTATATAATGCTCCTCCTCCTCATCCCTGAAATTTACTTTAAAAATTTGTGAAAGAAAGTTGCATCAATTATATATTATTAGCACACAACAACAAATAATAGACTTATTTAAAAGACACTTACGTATTTACCTATAATATAACTGCTAAACTAGGCTTAGGTTCTCCAAGAACTGTTACGTCAAGAAAGAAGTACTACATCACTTGTATAAGTTAGGTTAGGTTAGGTTGGAGTGGTAATCTTTTGCACCAAAATTCTCTTAAACAGATATAATAACCCATTGTGATACCATGGAAATCGCTGAAATTTTTAATGATATTTTTTTGAAATACATTTAGAGTCAATTTTACAATTTCCCACACTTAGGGCCACAACACACAGCAAATGGTGATCGATCGCTATATTGGTTATTACTGTTAGTCCTTTCGATTTTTTAGCTTATATTGCAAGTAAAAACAAATATAGCGATTCACGATCACTCGATCCTCGTGAAATATAATATTTAACTGTTGATTTGACACTAAAGTGACTATATAAATTTTTAGTATCAATTGAGTGCATATGGGGCAAACACTTAAGATTTATTTAAATTAAGTGTAGATTGTAAAACTGGTTCTGAACACGTTAATAACAATGATCAATTCCAGAAATAAAAAATAAAAGCTCAACAGTTCATATAAATTTAACATACATAACCACATCATACTAATAATAATTGATATCACTAACATACCACTCAGACCTAACCATATTATTTGCCATTAATTAAGTCAGTTGAAACATGCTCTTAATATCTTAGACATAACTCCCTCAAAGGTTATAGATTTGATTTTGAAATGAACTTCGAAGAAATATAAACAATATATATATAAATAACTATATATAAATAAATTTATATGAATAAATATATATAAATAAGTATATATATAAATAAGTTTATATAAATACATATATATAAATAAATATATATAAATAAATATTTACAAATAAATTTATATAAATAAATCTATATAAATAAAAAAGTCGTCTTGCAATCAATATAATTAAGTCTATAAAATCAATTCAATATGGATAGAGGTAGGTTTATAAATATGTTCTTAACTAATATTCGTTGCTTTCGAATAAAAAAATATATAACACATTAAATTTCTTTAATATTTAAATGTGTATATAACAATATTCATTTCCCTAAATATATAAAAGTACCTTATATTAGGCACTGTAGACTTAGCCTAAGTTCATAGTACCTACCTCCAAATCAATTGTAAATAAATTAAATATATTTATTACATATAATAAATTTGGCAATAGTTCTTAAATATAATAAAGCACTTAAAACAATTAAATTTAACTTAGGTTTAATTAATATGGAAGTATTTTAATTATTAAGAAGAAATGTATATATATATAGATTGACTAAATATATATATATATAGCAGAAGACTCTAGTTATTTAAGCTAATAAATAGATTTTATATGGACACTTCCAATAAACTAAACAGTTATCACAAATAATTTAGTCAAAGTTATTAAATAAAATACATATATATATATATATATATATTATTTTTAGGTGTTTCATAAAACAGAGCTTAGCTCATCATTTGTTAACTTATTTTCTTTAAAGTAATATAGAAATAACCTCATAAGTAGTAATCGACAATCACATAAAAGGCTTTTTAATATTGATATAAGTATAACATTAAAAATAATTAAAATATAAAATAAAATTAAATAAAAAAATAAAATAAATAAACAAAAAAATAAAATAAATAAACAAAAAAATAAATTAAAGAAAATGAGTACAAATAAAATATAATTTCAAATAATAAATCGAAAAAAAAAATAAATTTAAAAAATAAATTAAAAAAGTAAATTAATAAAATAAATTCTAACAATTAAATCCAAAAAAAAAATTAAAAAATTTAGTTTAATATTAAAATAATTTAAATCAGTGTTTAAAAACTAATTTAAAATAATAAAGTAAATCAGTACAAAATTAAAATTACAATAAAGAAAATTAAAATAAAAAAATAGATTAAAGCAAAAACTATTAAAATAAAGTAAATTTAAACGAATTTCAATACATAATAAAATTTGTAAGAAAAATAATTAATAAAATAAATTAAACAATAAAATATGAATAAATTATATGAATAAAATAAAATTGATGCTTAGCAATTATTTTATCTGAAGTGGTTAGCATTTATATATATCTTTATGGGATATATGTACAAACTGGATAAACACTAGTGTGCTTATACCCTAGATTCTGAATGACTTGCATATTTCATTTCTTCGGTGACCCAATGAAAAAGTTATGCATATTTAATAGACTATCGGAGCTTCTGATTTCTTTTCTAACCTTAAACTTTTCTCTTGAAAAGTTTTCTTCTCTGATTTGGTTTGTTTTTCATGCACTGAACAATTTTAGTCTCTTCACTTAATATTTTTGAAAATTTACCTTACTTTTTCATTGATTTTGTCAATGATATATCTGTATCACATCACAACAACATTTAAAAGGAACTCTTGATATCTGATATGATATGTTTATAAAGGAAATGTTTTTTTTTTCTACACCTTTTCACTAACATTTCTAGATATTAAAAAAGAACATATTTTTTAGATACTATTATTTTTATGTTTAGTTTATTTGTATGTTATATTCTATATACCTAAATGAAACACATTGATAATAGATATAGTTCCAGAGTCAAATAATTAGTAAACCTGCGAGAATGAGTCATTTTGAAAGGCCTTCAAATTTTGCCAGTAATCTACTATTGTCACACTATTGTTAAAGAACTTTATAGAATATAGAATATATTATGTTCAATCACATATTATATATATGATATATTATATTATAATATATATTATTTTATATTATATTATATTATATTATATTATATAATATTATATTATATTATATCATATTATATAATATATTATATTATATTATATTATATTATATTATATTATATTATATATATTATATTATATATATTATATTATATATATTATATTATATATATTATATATATTATATTATATATATTATATATTATATTATATATATTATATATTATATATTATATTATATATATTATATTATTATATATTATATTATATATATTATTTATAATATTATATATTTTATTATATATATTATATTATTATATTTATATTTTATATTATATATATTATATATTATATTATACATATTACATATTTTATATTATATTATATATATTATGTTATATATTACATATTATATTATATTATATCATATTTTATATTATCATCTTAAAATACCATGGAAAACTGGTGATAACATTTTCTTAATTTCGAATATCAACATGTTCAAATTAGAATAAAAAATAAATTGTTAATATTTAAATCTATATATAAACAAAACAAAAAATATTTGAAAGCCTTTTATTAAATTGTCATCGTATAAGTGATTTCATGTTGAAAGCAAAATAATTATATATAATAAAAAAAATTATTAAATATCATAAAAAGAATGAATTATATATAATACAAAAATTATTATTATTTAAAAAAATTATTAAGTAAAAAAAATTATTAAGTAAAAAAAATTATTATATGTAATAAAATATAATTAAATTAATAAAAATCAATCGTTTGATATAAAAAAAAAATAATTATAAATATTTAAAAAATATATATTTATTATATTATAAATATTTATTTATTATAAATATATGAATACCATGATTATAAATAACTATAATAATAAATATATAATTATATAACTATATTAAATATATAATTATATAACTATATTAAATATATAATTACTATTAATATATCATTACAATATACATTTAACTAAAATAAATATATATTATAATAATTATTTAATTTTAATGACTTAATAATGCTAAATAAAAATAACTTTTCATTTAAATCATATTTTTCAAATTGATATTTCTTCACAGTTCATTTCTACACGAAATCTGAAAATATCGCAAAGGCACAACTTTAAGTCCAACTAATATTTATAGACTGCTCTTCAATTTATTCTTTAAAACTTCCGGCATTCCCCTTTGAACGACTTAACTTTCGAAACAAAATTTCTAAACGACTTAAATTTCGACCAAAATTTCTAAATCGATCCGTTAAGTATAAACTGCTCATGACTTTACAAAGTGAATATTATCTCTGTCAAAATACTGCACTTTGTAGAGTCTACAATTTTTTGTAGAGATTTCTAGCAGTTAAATTCGTATCAAGCATATTTTATTATCTCTTTTAAGTATAAATCGCAAACGTTTTATTTTAAATAAAATTATTTACTAAAAATAAATTTTTATTGTTCAGTTTAGATTTTCATAAATTAGCAAATTTCTTTAATTGATCAAATTTAATGGTTAATTAAATATAAATGTTAATTTCTTTTTTTATTAATTCAATAACGTTTAATGTATAATAATATTGAAACAATGTTCAAAAGCTACATAAAAACTTTGAAGCTAATAAATTTTCGCTAATATTTTTAATATATTTAAATTTAAAATCGAATAGCTTTAACTTCAATAATGCATTATCAGCGTAATAATTAATAAATAATTAATTAAATATATGCTTGCTTCATTTTGATTATTTGTTGAATAATTAATCATTTAATTAGTATTGCTGCTTTTGCTTAATGCAAATATAAATTTTACTAAATTTTTATTTAAATTTTGTTCGTTACTTTTTACTTTGCTAGATAATAAAATATTTGCTTTTACTTTTACTTAGTTTTTTTAAGTGTACGATAATTAATTTGTTGTTTAATTAATAGTTTAAGAATAATAGTAATAATTATAATAGTAATAATAATAATAATAATAATAATAATAAGAGTAAGAGGAATAAAAATATCAACAATTGATGTTTTTAGTGTTGTAGAGTTTTTCGTATTTATTGGAGAATTCTCAAGTAGTATAATTAGCGCTAATTATAAATAATCTTAATACATTTGGGTTTATGTTTAGTACTCGTTTTCGAAAATTGTCAGTTTGTCTCCTCCAGAATATTCGTATTGGTTATATATATATTAATGTGTATATAGTTTGATTACATAAATTGGTGGTGATAATATTGCATATATCGCTTTGTATAATAAATATTCATATAACTTGTGTTCTGTTAGATATTTAATCGAATATATATGTTATTGTTGCGTGTTGTTGATAATAAAATATTTGTTGCACTGAAAACTCCAAACGCTAACAAACTTCCATTTTCGTCTTCGTTGATATCTACTAAACACACCCATGCTGTTTTGTTTAATCTTTGGTTTCCTTTAAAGTACGGTGCATGAGGACTTCTCACGGAAGGGATTAACCTTTTGACTGGAGAAGCCAGTCAAGAGATAATCCTCTTGCTCATGCTCTGTTATGTATTTCATCATTTTAGCGCATGATTCCGAAACTGATTGACGATCGATGGCTGCCTCACGGCGTAGTTGCTCGACGACGGTACGTTGTTGTTGCAATGAGGATGACATTACGTCCATAACGGCTGTCTCGGATAGGCCTATGATTGAGAATTTGCAAAATATGCCGTTGGTATTGAATTCAAATTTGTAAAAAAATTTTAATCAAAGTCTGGGAAGAACTTAGTCTGATGGGAAGATGATAATATAGTGCTTTGGTTGTTTGTGGTAATGGTGGTTGGTTGTGGTTATGGTAAATAGGTGATTGATTAGGTTTATATATTCAAGAGGTTTATATGGTGTTGTTGTAAGCTGCAAAATCGTTATAAAAAAGAAAGAAAATTGCAAATTTGATACAAATGAATAATAAAACCAATGAGTTAAGTGCGTTATGGAACAAGGAACAATTATTATTTAACCAATTACAGATTAAACATGCACATAAAAAATCTAATTCACAAAATTATATCTACAAAAAAATATATATTTATATAAAAATAAATAAATATACATACTAAGCCATATATTAACTATGTACAATTATAAGACATTTAAAAATTATATGAAGTAAAAACAAAAAAAAATGTATAGAAAAATATATAGAAGAAAATTCTAAAAACATAATTAAAGATGTAAAAAAGGAGTATAAAGGGAGTCACTGAATTTTCTTTAAGATAAAAAAGCGGAATGTATTTGGCAGTTTGGAAGTGGGATTCTATCATATGCTGTAAGAGTTCTTATCTTTGTGAACTCTTTTATATAATAAAATTTGACCTAAGGTCTTAATAAGTCTAAGTCTTAAAAATATAAAGTCTAAGGATAGACCTTAACGCACGAAAAAATGGATAAACTCAACTTTCTTTGTGAGGTTGTATCACATATTGTTGGGGTTTTTATCTTTAAGACTTCTTTTATAGAAAAAAAAATATATACCCAAAGTCAAAAGATATAATTGAATATCTTAAAGTAAGAAGGGATCAAGTTAACTTTCTTTAAAAAAAAACGGATTGTGCTATGATATTTTAGCAGTGGGACTCTATTATATGTTGTAGGAGTGTTTATCTTTAAGTACACTTTTATAGGAAAATATATTAAATCAAAGTCTTAAATTCTATGATAAAAAAGGGCATTAACTCAATTTTCTTCAAAAATAAATCAGGTAATATTATAAAGTTTCTTTAGTTTTAAAGTGAAGTTCTATCACATACTGTAAACATTTTTATCTTTAAGAACTTTAAATAGTTAAATATATAGATTATAATATTTTTGGGAAGCACTCTGTGTTTGGTGTGATAGATTTTTAAACAAAGCATACTACTTCTATTCATACTAAAACTCAAAAGGAATTGACTGGGGGTCTTAGCAGTAATCCTACTATAAAATGTATTCAATTTTTTTATATTTGAAAACACATTAATTGCTTGACTGTCTAACAGTAATCATACTGTAGTATGTCTAATATATCTATTGCATAAAATATATTTATTACATAAAACCTACAAAACCAGAGTTAATCTATCCATTCACCCAAGGTCTATCATTGATCCTTTCGCAGTATTGTAAACTAATTTTTTTTTAAATATTTGTATATAGCAAGCAATTACTTATTAATATTTTTAATATTTACTTAGCGTCTACACTGGCTAGGCTCTAGCAAGATTTATACGTATGAATGCACATTTGTATTATTTTCGAATAGCGATAGTTTTCAATAACAAAGGAATTATATTCGAATTATATAATTTTTAAATGCGAACAAAAATGTGTATGTATTAGCGAAAAAATGAGCGTGGATATAAAAATCTTGCGAAACTCTAGCCAATTTAGACGCTGGGTTAGTAACAAGACAAATTGTGTAACAAATTTTAATAATCACAATAACTACAGGTCCATATTTACAAAAATCTTAAAAATAATAATAAATATAAAACTGGTTAGATCCTATAATAAAGGATGTTGCAAATCTGCACTTATAAGAGCAACGATTTATCTATATCCTCAAGCATATCTAAGAATCTAGGAGGCCGCATAAATTCAAAACAACTATTATGAAATACAGCAAACAAGTTCCGATGTATAGAAATTCACAGGGACCTAATTCCCAAGCTGAATACTGCGACTATTGCAGATTTCTTATTTTAGTTCATATATAACATATAACGACGTCAACATTTTATAGAATTTTTTCACTGAACGTAAAAATAATGACAATATGATTTCAGAAAAAGATTAAGATTATCGTTAACTGTGAATAATAGAGATTGGGATTTAACCGTTTTTATCAAGCGGTTTTATATTAGTAAACAATGGATTCATTGCCTTTTTTTCAAATGGTTTTTTTTATCAAATGGTTTTATATTAGTTAACAATGATTCAAACTCTTCAATTTGTCTTTAGAGAATCTCTAGAACAGAACTTCTAGGTCCTACTCCTATGAAACAAAATTTCATTCACTTTTTATTTATTTCCTTTTTATTGAGTCATTTTATCTAACTAAACAATGATGTGAGCTCTCTTCAGAACATGCTCTCTAAGAATCTCTAGAAAGGAACTTTTAGCATAGTAGTGCCTATGAAACAAAATTGGTTTATCGGTCAATTGATATTCACTGTATTTTATTTTATTTTATAATTATTGAATTAAATTATTCGCACTATTTGCAAATCGTCTCTAAAAAATCTCAAGAAAAATTAAATTGCCTATATTAATTTTGGGCTTTCAAATCCTATTAATTCGACTTTTTTCAATAATTTTAAATCATTAATAATAGCTTACGAAGTTTTAGGATGGTATAATACTAATTCTCTGTCTTGATCCAGTTTAACTTCACTTAAAATCCAATCTATCACCAATTCACTCTTGTTCCGAAACAATTCTCACCCCTTTCAACACACTTCCTTTACCTTATCATGCTCTAACCCATGTATACGTATTTATAATATGTTTTATATTATCTGCTCTATGTCGTTGTTTTTGTAACCCGCGAAGAACCGCTGGCATAGTCCTTTTGGGCATGTTGAATGTGACAGGATCGTTATACTCGACTAGTGGCACCGGGACGCAAATCCGACGACACTTAGCACCTGCTCTATAGAAACTTCAACTGATACCGGCAGAATTCCTTAGAGTTCCAATGGGCGCAATATATCGATACGTGTGTTGAGAGCACCGTGGTGTTAAGCCTTCACGACAGGAAATCACGTTAAATAATTTTAGACTTCTGTTCCTATCTACCTGCTCTATAGATCTCCGCGAATTATAAGAACAACAATAACAACCAATAGGGTAATAAAATGTACTTTCAGAATAAGAATTTTGGCTTTAAGCTGGAAGGTTTTATCTATAACTAAAAACATACATATATATAAAGTAGAAGATTTAGTTTTTGAAATTAATACTGGGAAAAGAAATTATAAAACAATTTTGAATCATGAAGACTGCAGTTGAGTCATGGGACTTTGCAGTTGAGTCATCAGGCACGTTTGTCATACACATGCATTAAATTAAAAAAAAAAAAGAGGAAAAAAATTTTATACAAAACATAATTAAGGAAATGCAACATTAAGCATACGTCACATGTGTAACAAAGTAAGAAAGTATCCATGCTAAAATCAATAAGCGAATTGCTAAAATTAGTTAAAAAGAAAAAAACACCAAATTCAAGGATTTTGTGGTTGTTGAGGCTGCCATGTTTTGCGCTATTAAAATAATAAGGCACGGCAACAACGCACAGCGGAACAACGGAACAACGCAACACGGCGTACACCGTGTTTACAACAACAAAATGTTAATCAATTGCTATTTATAGTGTAGGGATTAATGAGTATGCAAATGAATGCTAAAACAATTGAGGCAAGCGAAAAGGAAAACAAATAAAAATCTTGCAAACAACCACTTAAGCATATGTGAACATTGTTTTTTTTATAATTTTTTTTTATGCTACATATTTTAATGTAATGCAGTTGTTCTATCAGACTTTTTGTACATTAACTATTAAATCGATAAAATCATAAATTATTTAAGATAGTTGTACGCACACACACACACACAACGATTGGCGTGAAAACGGCAGTACTTTTATGCAGACATTGCAACACTAAAAAGATTCAAGGGTCACCATTAAGCACCCCTCACCCAACAACACAGAAGAACACAATAGACATTTATGCACCACATATTATTTAAACACAACACAATAAACACACTTTAATTAATTGTAGATTTCATTGTATTAATAAAAAAAATACTAAAAATGCTATTAATTTATGTGATTTTTGTTTTTAAAAAGTTTTACAAATAAACGGAATAGCACCGCTCGTTATTGGAAAATTTCACAATGAAATTTACAATTAATTTGCGAAATTTTACAACAAATCCTTTTATTTAACATAATTTATGTTAGTTGCTATTAGTTATTTACCAGTTGTTATTAGAATTTACTTAATATTTAGCAGTTAATTTTTAAAATAAATACTGAAAAATACTTAGAGCGACACACACCCAAGAAAATTATTTGCCTTTAATGAGCATTCGCTTTTTATGTATCATTACTGCTTTACGCACGCTATTCTCAGTTTATATGAGTGCGTACAATATATGCTGAACAGCTGAGTGCACAAGTGCGAAAGAAATGCAATGATATTTGTTTTTATATTTGTACTAAAATTTCTATTAGAACTGAACTGAATTATTTTATTTATTAATTTAGTAACGCGATTGGCAACGCGTAAATATTATTGTGAATTGTTATAAATTTAGCCACGAACATATTTATGTCAACGAAATGACATTTATTAACCGCATTTTTACATTGCAGCTAGCAAAGTTATTTAAACCAAAATATTTAAAAGCACAAATAAACAACATGAGTGATTTACAAGAAATTATTACAAAAAATAAATTTAACGAAGAAATATTAACATCACTTAAGCATGAGGTAGAGTATAAATAGTGAAGTAATCATTTAAATTCCTTAATAGTATTTCTTTACAGCTGAAAGCACTACAAAACGAATTACTTGTACGTAAAAAGCAACAGTTACGTGCTGAAAATGCTGATTTAAATAAAAAAGTAGTAATTGCCAAATCATTACTAATTGAACTAGAAAATCGTAATGGAAAAGTACAAATACCAATACCTGGTGTGCGCAGCTGTAGCACGCAAGCCACAAATGCCGCACCACCGGCAACAGCTACTAAAGCCAACACTGCAACTGCTACTCCAGTACCCGCTGAGCAACAAACACCAAAAGCGGATAAAACAACAAAAGAAAAGAAACCAAAAAAAGAGAAACCTGCTCAAGATACAAACAATGCTGTAGCAGCTGAAGCACCTATAGACGTAGGACGTTTAGATATGCGTGTTGGTAAAATAATTGATGTCAATCGTCATCCGGATGCAGATAGTTTGTATTTGGAGAAAATTGATTGTGGTGAAGCACAACCTCGTACTGTTGTATCGGGTTTGGTAAAATATGTACCAATTGAAGATATGCAAAATCGTATGGTTATTGTTCTATGTAATCTCAAACCAGCAAAAATGCGTGGCATTGTTTCCGAAGCGATGGTCATGTGTGCGTCCACTCCTGAAAAAGTTGAAGTATTAAGTCCTCCTGCTGGAGCAGTACCTGGTGATTTAGTGCATTGCGAAGGTTATAATCGTCAACCTGATGCACAATTAAATCCGAAAAAGAAAATTTTCGAAACCTGTGCTCCAGATCTATTGACCAATAATGATTTAGTAGCTTGCTATAAGGGAGCTGTTTTACATGTGCCTGGAAAAGGCAATATCGTTGCACAAACTTTGAAAAATGTTAATGTAAAGTGAAAATGTATGTTAAATTGTAATGTAAAAGAAAAATATTAAAGTTTGCTACTCTTAAGACCATGTTTTCACTTACAATTATCGAACGTTAAGGCACAATTTTGTATGGATTTTATATGAAAAATGGCACTTTTTCTTGTACATTCGTTGAATAAATTGTAATGGTGTAGAAGCACTAAACCACAGAACATATAAAATGTAATCATTAGTTATATTGGAACTGTCTAGGAAAATATTTATTTGATTATAAACAAAATTTAATTGAAGTACAACACTATATATGAGAGACAACTGCTTTCCAGATATATTCGTTTCTATCAAATGGAATAAGATATTTCGTGCACCACAACCACATATAAATTAGGTTAGTTAACGGTTAACATTATCTGCGCATAGTTAAACAAATTCGGACAGATGAGTACTCCTCAGATCTCAAGATTTAGTACCAGTCAGCTGCTTCAACTAAGGCGTAACCTTTTCAGCATTTTGACATAGATACTGACAGGTCACTGCGTAGTGAAAGAAATGCTATAGGATTGAATCTACTTATACTGAGTTTTGTGAGCATTATGACTCTGCAAATGTGTAGGACTATTTTCTTACTCACCTGACAAAGCCCCCGTTCTGCAAGACAAGAGACTTGGGATAGGTTTCAACGTTTTGATGCTGATTGACTTCATTTCAAATACCACCCACCCCGCAATCCATTGTAATTCTCAAATTATCCCTACACGCACAATCAATACCCATCAGTATAACATGCAATATTCGTCTTGTAGTTCCTTTCATGTCTTTTGCCTTACAGATTCCTGCGGGTTATAACAACAGGGGCTTGGCCAAGTTTATAGACTTGTCAGGCCTTTTCACTTTTACTTGAATACTGGATTAGTGCCTTTCCTAGTTGCTCGTTCGCTAACTATTGCAGTCGTTTCGAAGATTCTTCTGCTCTACACATGAACAGACCATATGGTATCATAACGGACCGTTCTTAGAGCTAAAGTAGACTTTGGGCACAAGACTGCCACTCCAACCTAACCTAACCCCTAGTTGAACTACGACCCCAATACTAGAACGTATAAATTAAAACGTGTGATTTATATTTTATATTATATCTACTTTGGTTTTTATTTACGTTAAGATTTAAATAGACTACATATAATAGCAATTATATTATATAACAAAAGTTTAGTATAAATTAATATTTTAAACAAATATATAATCACAAAACAACCCATATATACCCTCGGTCCACATTTCTGTCGCTTATGGTTGATTTCTTTGCGGCGGGTTTGCTGCAGTCTCGACAACGACCGTTTTAGAAACCATATCATAGACCGTACGATTGTTCTTAAAGAAAACCATAAAAATACAAACTGGGAACAACATTGTTATGATTATATTCTTGAGGGCAGCACGTGTCAATGCTCGTTTAAACGTTGGAACGGTTGCAGGATATATAAGAGCTTTAGTTGGAGTACGTTGCATTTGCAACTGTAATGGCATTTGTGGTACAAGCGGTGGATTAATTACAACCACCGCTTCAGCATAATGTACACGTAAACCCATTAATGCTTTGCCCGGTGTAGCGCCATTGCAAAAAGTTGTGCAAACAGCCTCATAATAACAAACAATTGCTTTGGTAACAATTTCGAAAAGCAATAGATCCGATGATGAGAAGAAAGCCTCAATTAATTTCTTAACAAATTCTCCCATATTATCGTCTTCCATTGATTTACTCAACATAGTCTTATCAACATCGAAACCGATGTCCATATCAAAAATATTTAAAACAGTAAAAGATAAAATAATCTTCACAATTAAGAGTAATAAGAAATCTATTGATTCTGCAACAACACGTTTCCAAAATGGTGCAATAACATATTCAAAGCCACCATGACGAAAAACTAAATCAGCTTGAGCCTGATCATCCAAAAAACGCATGCGTCGATTATTTACCACTGGAGCAGCAGCAGCAGCAGGTGGTGGTGTAGGCTGTGCATTGTTTGGTGTATTAATATTGGCACTTGGATTCACATTTGGTTGATTTGTTTCAGTTGTGGGCATACCAAAACCTGCCTGCTGGTTTTGAAAGACTTGTGGATAATTATTCATAAGATACCATGGAAAGAGGGCCATAGCATTTTGTGATATATTGGCATTTTTCACCCATTGTTCCAGACAAGCAAAATATGCTTCTCTTGCAGTTAACTCTTTTACTGGCGTTTGCACCTCATCCGGTTTCGGTTCATCAGTGTTTGGTGTTCCCTTATTCGGAACGGAATGCTTTCTTTGCTTTTTATTTTTAGCACCGTTACCTCCTTTCTCTGACATCTTGGTATACTTTATGTTTAAAAAATATTTGAAAATTTACTTAGAATTTTCAATCCTCGAATGAAAATTTTGTTTGGATACACGACAATTTTTTCACCGTTTTATGTATAAACACATCACTGGACAATTCAATATATTTTTCACCATTCACAATAGTAATACGAAAAAAAAGTTGGTTATTTATTTGCATAGATTGTCATGTTATTTGTTTATCACATTTGATTTTTAAATTGAGAAAATTATTATGTTTATATTATAACACAAATTAGTATTTTAGCCATTAAATCGTTCGTATTTACTTTACAGAATGATAGCATAATTTACATTAATCTAAGTAAAAGTATTGAGCAAATTATGGAATTAGTCCAAAAGTATTCTTTAAACTAAACTAATGCATATAATATTAGACGTTAAACTGAAGTCTTGATCACACCAAAGCTTATAACCGGTTTTTCAGTTGGCTATCTGTTATTTCATTGTGTCAAATAATTACGATTATTGTTGAAATTTGTTTTCTTTAATATATATTTTTAATCATATGTTAAGCTATTCATATTCTCAAAGTTCCGAATAATATATGACTGATCTAAAGAATTTATATCATGGATCAAGTATTGTTTTTTACGGTATTTCGGTCTGACAATTTTGTTTAAGTTATTGAACTTGTTATAAAGTGTTTAAAATTTATAATTAAATAGAACCGTGTTTTGTTTTAAAATAATAATAATATTCAATAGTTAAACGAAAAATATTAAAATAAAATCTATCTATATATATAATATCTATAAAACGTGATTAAAACTAATTGGGCGGCGCTGCCAAAACTATAAATTCGTCAATTGTGAATTGTCAATTATTGAAAAATATTCAATTTTGATTTATATATAATTTTTAAATAATTATATATATGGACAACTGTTTATTGGCATTTATATATTGTTTTTTTAATGCTTATCATATTAATTGTTTAATTAATGTTTAAATTTAAAATTATGGTTAATATAACTTTTTTAAGCCTTTACTCAAAGTAAGCGAAAAAATAAATATAACCATTTAACAGGTTACTTTAGTGTAGTCAGCGTTAAAAATATAAAAACTGAAATGCAAAATAAATGTTATGTTCCAAAAAAACAACTTATACATAAATAAATTAAATTTGCTTAAATTTTAGGAAGTAATTGTTTAACTATATTTTTACCTCACATCAGCAGTTATGTTAATTTAGTTGCTATTTAAATGTAAATAAAAATAATGCTAAACGACAGTAGAAGAAAATGATTAATGTAATATTGTATTTTAAATAAATAATTATTTTTTATCACTTCACCTAATAGTTAATAGCTTATACTGTTTTATAACGTTGTGAACCATATAGTTTAGGTTTACATATCTATAGAATTAAGACCAGCATTTCACAAATACATCAACTCTAAAATCTTTATTTTCAATTAAATGATAAACATTATATGTAGTTGAAACTATAATATTTATATATATAATATAATAATATTTTTACTTTATCAAAAAATCGGGAGTAGCAAATTTTACTCGAGAGAGTAAAATAAGTGATTCAAAATATATCGATCGAATGTAAGTCTGGTCTCTTATTCTTTCCTTGATGAAACACGGGTATCTGCGATCACTTATTTGATCCACTGTAACAAGTTTTTCATTGAAATACAAAAATTTATTCAGGGGATTTTACAAAAGTATAGTTTGTAACTCAGCACATATTCCTAATGGATTATAAATTGCATTTGATTTAAGAGAGTGTAATTCTGATTTAGTGTGAGTACCCATAGAATCAAACATTTCAGCGTTCTGGTGTAAAATAAATAATAGAGATTGCTATAAAGAGCTTAAAAGTTTACAATAAATATCATAACTTTGACAGCTCTCATTCACAATAGTGTCATATTGTAAAAAGAAGGAAAACTGATTTGATTTGCGGCTGATAGGAGGCATAAACTTGTTCGTTTAAACAAGTTGTTTAAATGTTAGTTAACGCATAAAATGTCTATCCCCGTGGAAACTAAAACACGGCAACGGAAATATCCGTTTGTTGACATGAAAATCGCGGATCATACAGTGTTAAACTCAATCGAAGGTCGTTTCATTTGCACCGAATGCAATCGTTCACGCAAATTCTTTTGTTATAATTGCTACATACCAGTTGGAAATTTGGGTACACTCCTACCCAAGGTAGATATACCAGTTAATATTGATATAATAAAGCATAAGAAAGAAATTGATGGCAAGAGTACGGCAGTCCATGCAGCAGTGTTATCCGACCGTGTACGTATTTTTACATATCCAGATATACCAGACTATACAGAAGATGATGACGTTGTGCTCATATTTCCTGGTGTGACAAGTGTTACAGTGGCACAATTATTTAATAAGAATGTACGCCTAAATACTGAAAATAATTATGGTATGCCAAAAGGTCATAATATTGGTACAATGTTACGTCGTCGCTTGGAAGAAATCGTAGAGGAAAAGCAGCAAGAAAATGGTGAACAAAAGTACACCTTTACGACGTTACCTATCAAGCGTGCAGTATTCATTGACAGTACATGGAATCAAAGTCGTAGCATATACAAAGATAAACGTGTACGAAGTCTAAAGCCAGTAATTCTACAAAACCGTTTTTCACAATTCTGGCGACATCAACGAGGCAGTCCACGTTGGTATTTAGCAACAATTGAAGCTATTCATCAATTTTTGGTTGAAGTACATGTTAATGCTTGGGGTTTAAATCCCTCCTATGAGGGTTTAAATAATCTAGAAATAGCACAGGCGTTTTATGAGACGGTAACTATGGTTGCATCCTCGCATTCGGAAGATATGGCACGTGAAGACCCTTATAATGGACAATATGACAATTTATTATTTTTCTTTGCCAATATGTACGATTTAATACATAAATATTATGATCACAATGAATTGAAGTCATATCGTAGACCGATATAATTTAATAAAATTTATTTATTTATTTAGAGAAGTTGAAAATGTTTGTTTTCACAATTTTTTGTTTTTATTGTGCAATTCATTGTTTCTACGTTTCTTTTTCTTACGTTTCTTAGAAGACGCTACAGCAGATTTCTCTTTACTACGCAGCTTTCGCCATTGCAAACTATTACGACGATACATTGGCCACGGCGGTATAATCATCTATAATTGTTAAATGATAAGTTAAAATAATATAATAATATCAAGAGCATATATTTAGAATTTATTATTACCAATGCCGAAAATAAATATGCAGCCGCGAGTATAATTAGCGTTTGTGAAAAATCCTCAATTATCGCACCCCAAGCGAAACCCACCGAAGCGAACAAAATCATTATGAAGCGTAGCACCCATCGAGCATAAGCTTGCCCCACATAATCCTTAAGGAATAATATTTTTAGCACATTATTTTTTTTTTTATTAAGAATATTACCACATAAGTATCGGGGAGCCATATTTTGCTCTTTATTTTTTTGCAAATATCACACATTTTGCTTAGCAAAGCAAAACGGATTTGACAGTAACGGTTCCAACTTCATACTCTTTATGCACTTGATCGTTTTCTTCTTAAAATACAGGGGGTTGCTATAAGTTTTTAACGTGATCATTTGCATATTTTTGTCATGAATTTATTACCTGATTATATGGATTTCAGATACCATTAAAATACTGAAATTCAGATTATTTATGATAATAAAATTAAAGGATAATCATAAGTTAGATCATGTTTAATTGAATAATATGTTCTCAATTATCCATTATACAAATTTTATCTAACGATAATGAAAAGATCACTAAATTCTTTTAAATGTTTTGTATGTAAATCATCATCCATAGCTATACAGTCTATGTAGGACCTAAGCTTGTTTTACGGAATTTCACAAGTCTTCTCTATTTTTGGCTTTTATCTTTCATTTGATGTTGTCAACATATCTCTTTAATCTTATAGAACACTGTGATTCCATTTCTTTCTCAGTCTTCCTTTGCTTCTCGTTGTTCTAACTTCATTCTCAAAGATTCTGGCTGCTGCTCTATCTTCTGGGATCCGCATGACTTGTCCTACCCACTTCAAGCGTTGCTTTATGTGCTTAATTATTGTATTATTATTGTATCATTATAGTTCATCATTATATTTTATACGATATTCTCCGTTTTCATGCACTAGTCCAAATACTTTTCCCATAATCCTTTTTTTCAAATATCACCAGTTTGTTTGCTTCTTTGCATGTAAGCAAAAAAGTTTAATGTCTTTTGTTTTAATAATAACAGTATCAGTTCGGAATTAATCTTACTACCATCACTAAACATCACCATATTTTACAAGTTTAAACTGTATTTCTTTGGGTCTTAATCCTTACAGTCCGAATATCCTCTTTATTTTGTCTTTACAATTTTTGCAGACATTCTTTTTGTGGAAAAGTTTTGAATATTCTCTTTGTAATTTTTTTTTCCGTTCATTCGTGCCCTATATTCGTCTTTTTTTGTGATTTTATGAATCTAACATTATGCTTCACAGTTAATGCTTCTAACTTCCTATTAAAGTGTATGTGATTCCATCTTACCCAACGCATATATTCAATTATTTTTCTAAATTGATATAATAGCTTTTCTTAAATTGTTTTAAAGACTGTTACTTATATTCTTCTTCTTAATTTTTGTGATATTAGTAGAGCGAAGTATATTCCTGATAAGAAATGTTATATCATTATAACCTTACAACTACTTATACACGATAAAAATTATAGTTATCCATTAATTTATGTGATATCTTAAAGCTAAGGATAAATAATACGTAGACTAAAATAGTCCACAACTATTCAGATATCCCAACTGGTCTAGCAAGACTTAATTTTGGTACTATAATATAAATAAGCTTCACTTAATGTAATAGATTTCATAAAGACATGCATCAACACTTTAGTATGTACAGAATTTAAATTGTAGCTTATAGAAATGTAGAACGAAATTAGTAAGTTGATTAGCCTCTAAGGCAGCATGCAACCATCCAAATTCTTACGGATAAGGAAACTACAGAAAAGTTGGAGAAGGCATATCAAGTTACATTTAAAATTAGGGTAATACAGACATATTTATATCTACTGGAATTTTAATAGAATATTGTTTAGTTAGTAGACAAGCTGCCAGATTAGAAGTCCTTTGTTTTGAAATATAGAAAGCCTGGTCTTTTTCAAAACATGAGAAAGTTAAGCATGTCTATTACTATATAGCAAGATCAGCCAATAAAATTTAGGACTTCATTTACTAGAGAATCTAATAAAGACTCTAAATAATAAATAAAATAATAAAGATACTGAATATAATAAAGTTTGAGAGAATCAATATCAATATGAAAACCAACCTTTATTGGCCTTAGGGAAACTGACTTACAATTAATAGAATTTTACTAATCTGAGTTGAATTGAATATTAATAAATTGCAGAAAGGAACTGATGATATATATGATACTTCGGTTAAACTATGAAACTATACCCCTTTTTCTTAAAATATATCTGATATCTGTTTCTTCTTAAAATAGCTTATGATTTGAAAGGTTTCTAAATAACACTTGTATTAGGATTGAAATCTTAATAATAATAATTATCAGCAGGGAAGGAGTAAGCGCATTTCTTGTTAAAATATAGATTTTATCTCAATTTTTTTTAAAATATATTTAGAACATATGTAGTTTTTAGTAAGACCATGTAATACAGACAGCCATGTTAACGTCTAATATAAAACTGTTGTTGTTTTTAGTATAAACTAAAGATTTGAGAAGGAGAGTGAGTAAGCGCAAGATTTCGAATAAACTTTGGTCACGGCGTCGATGTTTATGACTCGTCACGTTATTCAAAAGAATGTTACTCAGCAATTAATGGCAGAATTCATGTCTTTTAAACGCAGATATGTATATTTTTGTTTAGCTAAAAATAATAGTAAAAGTACAGAAATTGACAATTGTGAAGACTCTCTGTATAATATGCCTTATCTGACAAAAGATTATCTAACAAGCAGGTTCAAATTTTAACTTAGCTCCTTAGAGAATAGACTGACTGAAAATTTCTTAACTGAAGAAAATTTTTTGAACTGAAAATAGACTAATAATAAGCTTTAAATTTTGACTTAAACCTTTAGTGAAGAAACTAATAGATTCCTTTATATCTGAAAAGAAGACTATCTGACTCTAAGTTTAAAATTTTAACTTAGCTCCTTGACAAAGAAACTAGTAGACTCTTTTAACTGAAAATTAAGGATTTAAAAATCAAATTTGTACTTAGCGCCTTAGAGAGTAAATTAATAGTTTCCTTTGCTTGAGAATTAGATTATCTAATTATCGGGTTTAAATTTTGACTTTATAAATAAACGAATAGCCTCCTTTATTTGAAAATAGATCATCTATTAATCAGGTTTAGATCTATTTTAACGTAGCTCATTAGAGATAATATACTATTCAACTTATATTTCATATGATAGCTCTTACTAGGGTTTGTTACAATCTAATCACTAATTGATGCTAAAAACTATTTCTTCTCTCGTGCCACACAGATTGACATCCAAATGGTGTCATAGATAGTATGACAACTCATTCCATGTAGCTTATGTTGATCTCTTTCTTTGTATTATGAATATATTGACAAGATAATAAATTAATATCGTTGGAGTTAAATATCGGCAAAAGCTTTCTGCTCTTCATACCGAGACAGTATCTGCTATGAGCCTATAAGTGCATCATAACAATATTTTTAATAGGCTTTCGCGCATAATCCTCGGAGATAAAAGACGTTTTCCACTAGCAACCAAAAATGTCTTGATTCAGTTCAAGTTCTGAATGTAGGCATGTGCTAAATAATTACTTATCTCGCATCAACACGTCTATCTGCAATGAGGTAGCAGTTCTCTCATTAAGCGCGGTCCAGACATACTTTAAACGTAATTATTTATAGTTCTATTCCAATATTAAAACTAAACTGGACTCAAATTATGTTTATAACATGCCCGCCAATATCTTTCTTCATTAATTCTTAATACCACACCTCCTTACTCTTCCCATTTTAGCTTTTCGGATTATTTGATTTACAACAGCTGCAATTCTAATGTGATCAAATTAATTATAGATCAAGACTAGACATATAATTAATTTTTGCATTTAATTTTTTTAATTAAAATAAAAACAAATTTTATTAATTTTTTTTAGACATTTAAAAGTTGATTTTATTTTCAATAATATAATAATATAATATTTATAAACTTATTTTATATTATCTATGTAAATCAATTATATTTGTTACAAAAACGAAAAACTTTAGACGCTCATTTAACATGCGTAGAACACAATAAATTGTATACATCATATTTTAAATAAAATGTTGTATTTTTATGTAGATTGTATGATCACTTTAATTTATTTATTATTATTTAATATATTTTATTGCAAAATCCGTTTCTTCTATTACACATGATAACTTGGAATTTCAATTATTTAAAAAAGTTTAAACCTTTTCGATTTTTTCAAAAAGTTTTTTTGTTTTAGGAGCGTTCCAAAAATTTTATTCAATAATTTCAAATATTATTTTAATATTAATAATTATAATAATTATAATACATAATTTAATTTATATTTTTCGACAATGGATTGCTAACTAAGATAGTTCAAATAGGTATTATTTAATAAAATAGTATATAATTTAAGGATTTCCGGCAGCACTGTGATTTTTAAGTAAAGCTCTTTATGTCTAATAAATGTTATAGATCTGATACTGGAGAGTCTGCAGAAGATATCGTTTTTTTTTTGTTATAATGAAATGAACTTGAGAAAAAATATATGTTTTAATATCAACCAATAAGAATTTTATATTAAAATTAAACAAAATATAAAAGATATAAATAAATAATTAAATAGATAAAGAGAGCAGGCATTTAAAATAAATAAAAGATCTGGTATTATAACGCTCTATGTTGTATTAATATAGATCGGACTACCATCACCATTAAAGTACTGATTAAGTATATCTATATTTTTTTATGTTTTAGATTAAAATTAATTAACTGCATGAATTAAATTATTAATAATTTATAAAAAAAATACATATAACATCTTTCTTCCTAATTTTATATTTCCATTGATTATTGACTATTGATTATTTAAAAAAAATTTGAATTGTTTAAATAGTTTTAGAAACATCTGTGTTTTCCGTCCCCGCCTAATCTCCCATGACAAAACTATTGGACTTAATGTACTGCGTTCCTACCAAAAGAGAATTAGAGAAAAGAAAGTGGAAGTGGACAGTATACATCTTAAGAAATTAATCAACTTTTCCCGATCGTGCAGTTTCACTGCATTATAAGAAATTTTTGAAATCTGTTTAAATAATTTTAGAATCATCTGCATATTGCAGTGTCACCTATACTCCAATGACAAACTATTAGACTTAACGAACACATTTCACATTAAAATAGAACTTGAGAAAAGAAAGAGGATGTAATTAGGGCACATTATACGATAAGAAAATGAAGTTCACAGGGCAGCTATATATCGGGTCGGATCAGGCAAATATGCTTGCGATCGATTATCGGAAAATGCTAAAATAAAATATTATTATCTTAAATTTGTTACTTTGCAAGAAGCTTTGAGCCCTATGCTTTCATTATTTGCATTGTTAATAATATTCATCTCTTTTACATAGCTTTTGTATATGCATCAACTCAAATATAAAAAAATTTTGAACTATTGTTCTGAGTTTAATGTATAATATTCATAAAAATAGATTAAAAGCAACAAATGGGGTCTTAGGATTAAATATAGCGTTACTATGACTTTCTCCAACCATCACTAACATAAACCATCTAAAATACCTAATAAAAAAGTTAACATCTTTTATATAGCCACTTAACTGGCTATATGAGATCCTTATCGATGAATGGCATATGTGCCTATCTGGCACTTACAGAGTTCAATTTATGAACGCAAAATAAACATATAACGGCTTCTTATCTAAAGAAATAACTGTATTATCAATCATATCTAAATCTGAATTGATATAAATAAATTAAATCTCCAGTCTGATTATGCAGTTAGTATGAAATCTATAATAAAAATCTCCACTCTGATTATATAGTTTATATTGGAGCTATGATATAAATCTCCACTCTGATTGTGTGACTTATATAGAAGCAATGTTGCAAATCTTCACTCTAATTGTATGATTAGTATTGGAACGATATAAATCTCTAGTCTGATTATGTATGTTAGATAGAATGAGAGTTATAATGCATATCAGAAGATCGAAATAGAGAGAAGATGTAATTTCAAACATTTTATCTGAGAAATACTTATTTTAAATGAAAAAAATCAGGACTTAAAACATTTATAAGCAAACTTTTGAAGAGAACAAAGCCGACAAATCATAAATCTCTGATATAGCATATTTTTTAAACCTTCAGTTTACATATATATATATATATATATATATATGCTTAATGTACATAATAATAAATAATTATGAATACTTTAAATAAAAATTAATAAAAGTGCTTCGATATAATATAGTTTACGGATTTCGATTAAGTATAAGGGCAAAAAAAAAAAAAAATAATAATAAAGCAATCATGGTTTATAATCTAGGGTATATATAAAGTATATATATGTCAAATTTAACGTATTATTATTTTTTATATATATTATAAAGAATATAAACATTTAACTTCGTAAAAATTATATTTAGGAAATAAAAAAAGCGAAAAATGATTAATATTAAAATAAAAACCTTCTTATAAACATTTTCTACATTGAAATAACTTTATATATATGGAAATTTAATGAAGTTAAAAATATAAATAAAATAAAGCAACAATACCATAATTATATCTGCATATAATAGTTTTGAAATAGCATAGAAATCCGACAGACAGTACCTGGTTTGGTAGCAAAGTTACTTTAAGTGCCAAGGATTTAAATAATTCGAATATAAAAAAAAAATATATTTTTTTAACTTTAGATATATGTTTAATAACAATTAATAAATTTAAACAATATTAATACACATATAAACTCAAGATAGACATAATTCTAAGGATATAACTAATCTTAAATTATTTATTTTTCCACCAATTAATTCTGGAATGTAACATATTAAACTTATATATTTAATATGGATTCTGGACAGTCAAAATAGATTAGAATTTGAAAAGGTTACAAAATAAATTGTCCAATCATTTTTATGCTTTATATAAAACCTAAAAAATATTATCTAAAGAAATATATTTATTTATTCAAAGCTCTTCAATAAACTAGGGGAGGTAGCGGAAGCTAACATTAACGACCTTTTAAGATTATATAAATGTATGGATTGGAGTTAATCGAGCTGTCTACAAACAACGACTAAAACAGTTGGTAATGAGAATGTGATACAAAAATGGTGCTCAAGCACTAATTGGATTAAATCAAAACTTAAGCTAAGTAAATAAATCCAAACATTGTAGATATCTACAGGTTTAAATAAAAAATAAATATAATTTAAAAAAAAGGTATTGTTTATAGTCATTTCAGTGAGCTTTGTTGTTACTATTATTATTCTTAAACAAAAAAGGAACTAAACAATAAAGTGGATTTTACAAAAACAACAAAACAGTAATAAGGAACAAACATAACAATAACAGTAATAATTGTTGTAATTTATTAAAAATTTATTGTAGTTTATGTTCGGACATTGGAAAGGACAACAGTTTTAGGAAAAAAATATTCTGGTTATTGTCATGGAAGCCAACGTCAATGCCTTAAACAAGATAGTCACATATTGTGCGTTTGGTCCATATCAGATAAACTAGTATTTAAAAAAATAATAATAATATAAACCAATAATTTATTCATTTAAGATAATCAGAAATAAGGATTTTATTTTGTATATGTTTGAGTATCTCTGCTATAAGCTCAACAGTTCTGCTGCATTTTGCATATATACTATATGTGAATACTTTGGAAATACATATATTAATTTAAAAGCATTTAACAAAAACTTAAAGCCTGCTTATAAATTCCATTTAAAATATACTATAAAATCACATTTTAATAAAATATAATTGTCTGAGAAATTTATTTTAATACCAAACTAAAGAGTTTCTTTCATTAAGTTTTACATAATAAAATATATTGTATAATTGTTTACCTTTTCGACGACTTGAAGACAAAATAAGCTAAGTTGGCAAGTCAAGAAAAAAAATCAATTATGCTGAAGACGTAATCGAAGTATATGTGCAGTCAAACAGTATAAGTTTTTATTGCCAGACGTTACCGATATTTAAATTACCAAATTGTTGGTTTAAGTTTCCAGTTACACCGGTACTGGGTGTCTGAAAGGATGAGGGTGCTCCAGCCATCTGTGGCATGCCAGTTAGTGGCATACCCCCCATATTAACTTGTGGCGCTGCCATCTGCGCTGGATTTCCCAACATTGTTAAACCACTCAATAGGCTTTGATTTGTTTGCATAAGATTTATATTGGCTGGTGTTTGTCCTGTAGCCATTATACCAACTGCACCAGGCATCATGCCAGGCATTTGTTGTGTGAAACCGGTAGCGCCTGGAAATTGCGCATTAAATGCTCCACCGCCTGCTGCACCTGTCATATGCATGCCAGCAGCTGTACTAAAAGCAGTTGGTGCCGTCATAACAGGTGTATTATACATGCTAGTCGAATTGGGCGGTGTCATGAACTGGTGTTGTTGTGGATGTGGTGTACTGCCCGCACTCATGTAACTAGAAAACGCACTTGAAGCTCCAAACATTGGTTGTGGTTGTAGGAAATTCATTTGTGGATTGTGGGCAGAGGCGAGGTTATTAGGTGCAGTACCATATAAGGCTAAAATGCTATCCTTGGTTAATTTTCCTGAGCTATCCTTATCGTTAGAATTACCAAGTGCGCTTTGATTGAAAAAATCTTCCTCTTCTTTTGCCAATGAATTATGTGTAGGATTTTGTGGATTTAAACTTGAATCTGTCATTTTTTCTCCATGCATTGTTGGTGTTGCACTTAAAAAATTACTAAAAGTATCGTTGTTTAAGTCCTGTGCACCATTGTTACTACCCACCGGATTCTGTGTGGGTTTAGTTGGCGATGAAAGTCCTAACAAATCACTACTGTGATTTGAATCGCTAACTGCAGAGCTAGTTGAATTTCGATGAGTTTTAGGACTGCTGCCACTTTGTCCCGGTTTCGGTTTAGGCAATGGTGCTGGTAATGGTGTAGACTTTATTGAACTCGTTGCAGACTTTTTATCACTACCACTTATTACATTCAGACCAAGTGCATTATTGGCTTGTGCAGCTTTCTTTTTACGTTTTTGTCTTTCCAATTCTTCATCGATTTCTTTAGCCCAATCAACTTTTGGTGGTGATGGTGGTACCCATTCACGAGCCAAATACTTTTTATGTTCATATTTTGCACGTATAAAAGATTCAAGTGCTGTATCAGTTTGTGGTCGTCGGAAACCATCGGGTAATTGTGCTTCGTAAACTGCTCTCGCACGAGAATTGCCCATTTGTTGCAAAGATATGACCTGTTCTGGTGTCCAAGTATCCAGATTAACTGATTTGACACGCGATATGTGCACACCTAAGTTGCGATGAATACCAGCACAACGAATGCATAGAAATACGCCTAAATTCCAAGAAGCCCATCGAGGTCCTATATTTGAAAAAATGTTGCATTAATGATCGATAATTAGTACATATTAAAAGTAATATAAAATAAGTAAAGAAAAGTATTATGGCCATTATTCAACTACTCAACTACACTGTACTCAGTGAATTTCTAGGTGACTATCAAAAATGGATCAAGTGGATGCAATGCTCCATTGCAAGAGCGCAGGTCTACTTAGAGTTTTCTTTCATAGCATTCAAAAGTCCCAGTGGAGTTTCGGTCTTCGTAAGAAAGGTGTTTTAGGATGTGAACTCAGTAAATCCTTTAAAGAATATTAAGTACTAAAGTCACTAGCGAAATTTACGACAGAAATAATATGGGTTTAAAGAACGGTCGGGTCTACGTTCCGGAGCCATTTCAGATTTTATAAACAGACCCCAGCGGATTACAACAACAAAACATATAAGGATTGCAAGATAAACACATAGGATAGAGTAGGATGTATGGTAGGGGAAGAGAAAAGGAGGAATGTTAGACATAGTGGCGAATTGGATAGACTACTAAATACTCTACACCATTCTAAATAGAGATAATAAAAGTTTTATTATATTATTTCAAGGAATTCACTACTCTCCACAGTGACACTAGAAACTGTATGAATTTATTCTAATTTATGACGATGATTGTGTCTTATAGAAATTGGTTCATTGAAGAAAATTAATTATAATAATATATTATAATAATTAATTATAATATTTCAGTATTTATTATTTAGTACAAAATGAACTGGTATAGAGATATAGGGCTTCAGATTCTGCAAATTTTGTTTATATGTGAAGCCGTCAATTTATCATAATTTATCATAATGAAAACATATAGATATTATCAGTGGTCAATTGTTCTCTTTTAATTATAGAAATTTACAAAACTCTGGTTTAATGGGCTTCTGTCGCACAATATTTTATATAAATTAAGTGAGCAGTTTTATGCTATGTCCATACAGTTATATCATTCTTGGTTTGTGGACATCAAAGATTTGAAGTCAATGTAATTTTAGACTGTTCGTTCAATATATAGAATGTGAGAATGGATCATAATGAGCGTGAACCATTTGAAACTTGGGCACAAAAAATTGTTATAAATTATTGGTTGTTTTTGCAAACCGTATTTGATCGCCCGGGTAGACGAAAAACTTCGGCAGTTAGAAGCTGTATTCCTCATCAGCGAAATCTATGGTATGATAAGGAGTGTCATCAGACTAGAGCTGCAAAGAACGTGGCCTATAAAAAGATCCTGTAGTCAGTAGCTACGTGAGTCGTACTCGAACAATATTGTGAGATGAGGTAGTCATCTCTTTACACGGAAGAAACGAGATCAATAAAGGCGCGAGCGGGTGGTAATCAAGGCGTGCAGAGATAGGAATAACGACTGTTTTACCAAATGGTTAACCATTTGTTAATATGGTAACCATATTAGATCTGCTATTGCTTACATACTTATATACTAATTCCGAATTTCTACAATATAGTACAAAGAATCTGTAACTCGTTACAGTTTATGGCAAATTTGGATACCAGATAGGAGCTTTTATCGTTACTCTTAAATAAAAGTAAAAATATCATTTAAAAATGCTTAGTATGAGTTTGATATGAGATTCGAATATGAATCTATAGAGTGAAGATATGACATTTAGCTAAGTTGATAGATTGTTCTTTTAGTGTCTATTTAGAATGTCATAGCAGTTACACACATGATAAACCACACAATAGATCTTCAGATTATAGTTTATAGGACAATCGGTTTATAAAAATAAATCTAAATAAATTATCAAGATACTAATTATTGTTATCATTATCAATGCAAATACTTAATTATTTTATTTATTCATTAATTGTTTTAAAACCAAAACTCCTTATATTTTTGCTTCTGTATTGAAAACTTTGTTTATTTCAAGATAATATTACGTCTGTTATATTATCGAAGCGATTAATATAGATGACGTTTATCGTTTGCGTGATTTACGTATGAATTGGACTCAGTTCCGTATTTAGAAAAAAAATATAATGTAGAGATCAGTAATAAAGTATTGGCATTTATACACACCAACACATCGCTTTCTTTTATCTTTCATTGATTTTTGTATTCAACGATATGAGTTGCGGTTACGTTGTATTTTATATAAACAAATATGTATATATATTTATATATATATAAGTGTTACCCCCATGGTAACAAATCTATACCAGCAACAGTAAAGGCAATAATAACTCTAGACAATCAATTGTTGCTGCCTTCCGTCAAAAATACAGATAAGAAAATTATCACAAATCAGAAGTTTATGAGGTTCATAAAATTATTTAAACGTAAAAGTTATTTGTAAACAGAAATAGAGTTTGAAAAAAAAATATGGATTGTTGTTTATGCAAGTGGTTCAGCATTTCACTTGCTGCAACTTTATTGGAAATTCCAGAGCGGTCACTGATATTTCTGTCATCTTCGTTATTTGCTTTATGACGCATATAAAGCCTCACCACAATCTTCCCCAACATTTTCATCATACACTAACACAACCATAAAATCAATTTTTCAGTAAAAATTTCTTAAATTAAACAATTCTCGTCATGGATTTTTAATACCTTTTGCATCGCAATCAACACAATATTTATTATCTTCATCACGAAGCATTTGAGTTAATAATGTTTGGCATTTTTCCTGTATTAATTTGGTCCGTTCAGTTTCTTTGCGGCTTGACGTCGAACTCATTTTTTATACTTTTCGGTTTGCTTTTAAAATGTTGTAAATATTTGCACTTTAAATTTTTGCTCTAATAAATATTTGTCTTTTTTAACAATAAGTACATTTGTATACTTTTTTTTTCAAAACTTAATTGAAAAATCCCTATTGCAATGTATGCAAGATGAAAATTTTGTACCAAATAAAAAAAAATTACTTTGCTGTGATATGGCGAACGGCCATTTGTCAAAATCTGCGGCGAATTGTGCCCCAGTAGAGTGTGGCCATCCACAACAAATACACACGGCCGCCACAATAAACAGAGAACGTATAATGATATATGTTGACATAATTTTTCAAAATAAAGTTTTTGCTGAAATTATCAATTAATTCCATGCATATTTTTTAAATAGATTTTCTTTTTACAGCATAGCCTTTTTAGCATAAGTTTAATTTTGAATTAATTTATTTTATACGGCGTTTACATTGGCCGAAAATGGCTCATTTTGGTCAAAAATCGAAAATGAGTATCGAATGGCTCATTCTTGCATATAAAATTTCAAGCACAAAATGAGTAATTTTCTCACATTCTGTATGAATGACGTTCGAATGCATTCCACATATGTTCCAAATGCAAAGGAATCTATTGAACATACCCTAAATGAAAGCTCTTCATGGCATTTTGACAGTTTGTAAAAGCTGTTTTGACATATTTACAAAAAAAGATAAACAAATGTTTAGTAGTTTTATTTCAGTTTGAATTGTTACCATGAGAACGAATGAAATACAACGAATGTAAACACTTTCAAATGAGTCATTCAAAATGAGCCATTTTCGGCCAATGTAAACGCCGTATTAGTTAAAAATACCGAACGTTGCACTAATATTTTATTACGTTTTACACCCTAACATAATACGGCATTTACGCGAACGAGTTCCATTGGATCACATTCTGTATAAATGCGTTGCAACGACGTTCGAATGCGTTCCAAATATGTTCCAAATGCAAAGGAATACATTGAACATACCATAAATAAAAGCTTTTCATGGCATTTTGACAGTTTAAGAAAACTGTTTTTGACATATTTACTAAAAAAGGTAAACAAATGTTTGGTGGTTGCATTTTCTTGACAATGATGGACCTCTTTTTAAAACTTCTACCTCCCAAAAAGTAATTAATCGAAGTTAAAAAAATGTTTTAAGTTTATATAGTAAAGATTGAAGGCATATTTAACATTCATGTAATATTTGTTTGGCACAAGGCAAAAAATCAAATTTACAGGCAAGTTAAAAAATCAGCTGTTTGAAGTGGGAACAAATAAAATACAACGAATATAAACACTTTCAAATGGCTCATTCAAATTGCATAGTCTCCAACATAGAAATGCAAGAGTAAATATATTTTGCGCGAACACATCTATATATATTAAGAGTATTGCAATTAATCAAAATAGTTATTTACTTTACAATTTTTATTAAATGCAATTAATAAAATGTCAACATTTATTGTTACGTTTAAATATTGCAAATGCAACACAAATTATATTCAATATTTTTCGTTAAAAAATTTGAACAAGGAAACTGAAATATTTTTAAGATTTATATTGAATTAATAAAAACAGAACGTAGACAGAACACACTTGTTATTTATTTTTATTATTTTTTAAATTATTATTATTATTATTATTTTATTAAATTAATAATTATTTATTTGTTAATATATCATTTAGTAATTTTAAAAGCATATATTTAGCTTATACACAATTTATTATATTAATATTTTGGTGTTATTTAGAAAATTAAAAGATCTTAGATCTGTTCCACGATCTACTGGTAATAACTTCGAGAAACTTTACGTATACAAAAAAGCGTTTCGCCAGCAAATTTTCGAGTAAATGAGAGCATCTTAGAGAGCGTAAGATTGCTATCGAAATTTGAAAATGTTACTTGTAGTGATTTTGAGTAACACTGTGTACGCAAGTGCGTTCCATCAGCAAATTTTTGAGTAAATGAGAACGTAAATGGAAGAATTTTGAAAATGCTGCCTAGACTTCACTGGTACATTTTATTTCAAGTAAAATTTGTGTGATGTGTGAATCAGCTGTTTTAGTTTGAATTTAAAATTGTTGTATTGTTAATTTGTGTGGCATTGGTGTTTTCACCAAATTTTCCGCAAAGCTGTTCCATTAAAAACTATGTAAAGAGCGAAATTAGACACTTTATATGTGTTACGCTCTTAGTTTGTACTTTACTTTCGTTTTACTATGAGTAGCTCGTGGAACAGACCTTTTATAACAACTCACAACAGCCGCTGTGAATAAAATTTGACATCCCTGGTGCGCGGAAAATTTTTAAATGTCACTTTCAAAAACCGATTCCAGTAAATTGTGAAAAATTATTGCATATGCACTTTTGTGTTTTTAATAAAATATAGAACAGTTATGAATTCAATTACTGAAAAATTTATGCCGCAAATGGCAAAATGTCGCAAATTGTTAAATTTGGGTTACACTAGCACAAAAAATAGCGGCATTGCATGGTTAAATGTATATTTGAATATATCAAAATGTTAAAATATAAAATATTAATTAAAATTTGCTTTCAGAAATTGTGTGCTGAATTTTTGGAATTTTCCAATAACTTACATCATTTTATTACAAAAGAAATAGAGAAAGACTTTATTGAAGCGAGTGAAGATTTTGAAATAATATTTTTGTGTCTTACACAAATTATTACGTGCATTAAGCACTTGGAGCGCACCATAAAAGCTGAGGAAGTCAGCGGCTCTGCCATATCAGTAAATATTATTAATAGATCAAAATATATAGTTTAAAAATGTTATATGTGTATTATGAATAGGCTTCAAGACAGCTCTTTCTTGATCGCATTTATTGGTGTTTGGATCGTTTGTTAGAATCAATGAAAAATTTGGTCTCATGTGATACATTTAATTATAAGACCATAGAAGAGCAGTCATTTATTGAATTGATGGATTTGGTATTTGATTCTTTGTTACCATATAGTACATACAATGAGAGCACAAATTACAATAATGCAGAACAAAATGCTGAGGTATTATATTACATATATTAAATCAATATTAAAGAAATAATATGTACATTTAATTGAAGGCAATGTTTGATAGTAAAAAAGTACGTTCTATGATTGACTTAATACTGAGTCATACGTTAGCGTTTGCTAATGTGGCATTGAAAGAAGATAAAAAAGCTATTAGTGCGCTTTGCCAAAAGGTAATAAACAAAATGATTTGCAAATAAGTAAATAAATGATATACATTTATTTAGGTGCTACGTGAGTGCATATCCTTTCAAGACGAATGTGCACTAACTAAACCAGTACTAAAAATTAATGACTCCAATAGGAGTTTGCGAGCAATGTCACTGGAAAATGCACTTTATCAACTTGAGGGTTATGTTAATGAAGCCTTATTACGTTTGGTATATGTCTGTTTTTTGGACTTCAACAAGTTTTCGATACAGACATTACGCACAGAAATATTAATACGTGAAACTGATGATCCCGTTTTAGATGAACTCATAGCAGATTTCGATGTGAATGTAGATCGTATGACACAAATTGGTATATTTGCCATTACTTTTGCGACAAATTCTAAAAGTAATTATTCAATAATTATTATTTTTTCAGTTATTTTATTAGTATTTGATGTAATTTAACTTGGCTTATTTTTAGTGAAAACAATCATTCGCAGCTGTTTAGCGTCAATAGAATCTCTTGATTCTTGCGTTATACCCTCATTATATGCAAAAAATGCTGCCGACATACATTCGGAAATTTTAGAACAACATTTTAATGAAGAAGTTAATATTTTCAAAAACGCCATACAACAAATAATGGATAGTCACGCCTTCACATCATGCTATGCGGATTTGCTATCAGATTGCATAAAAAAATTAGAAAAGGATTTCAATAAAACAAAAGCATGTGAAATCATACAAATGGCTGAATTATTATATGAACATTTTCAACTTCCAGCCAATCGTAAAGAACTTGCGAAAATAGCAGATCGGGATAAATATTTTAAAAAATTTGTAATAATTTTACGTGAATGTCAAGCAATTCTAATCTGTGCTGATCAAGTTGAATCGAAAAGAATTTTAAAAAGGTTTAGAATTTTACATTCTATTTCACGTAAATTTTTAGACACACTTGTTGCTCACGGAAGACATGCAAAGAAAACTAATGCATTTATAATGTCCGAGCAGTTTAATGAGTCTGAATGTATGTTTGAATCTGCTGGTATATCACCTTCAATACCAAGCATATTGTATCAAAATGATCATACGCTACGCAGACGTGCTGCTAGTGATTCTTTAAAGGGAAACTACTCAAAATTAATGCATACGCCAAAACCTTTACCATTAGTATTGCAAAAACCTAAACATGATGCAGAATTGCAAAAAGTTACAAATACAAGTGTATCAAATATTGGAGGCAATGAACGCCGTTGCAGTGTACGTAGGAGTATGTAGATCCAGTGTGATTTGCTTGTTCATATATTTTATTATAACAATTTTTTATTTTATATAATAATTATAAAATGTTTGCTTTATTTGCAGAACCAAGCTTACGCACTGCGATGTTTAAACGCCAAAAATCTACCGAAACGGAAAAAGTGTACCATATTTATAAAAATAACTCCGCAAGCCTACAAATAAGTGGTAAAAAATAAAATATCTTTATATTTTTGTTTTCATTTACTACTACTTTTATAATTTTAGATATACTAGATCAACTTTGTAGTATGTCTTCGAATATGGCTAGTAATTTGAAGAAAAGTAATTCAAAATAATCGTATATATATATTATACGTTCGATAAGAAATCCTTAACTGATGCAACTATAGTGATATATTATAATTTACTTTATCCAATATCATTAGTTTATATATATCACTAGAACTTTTTAAAAAATTAAATTTATAGTTCATAATTCAATTTATAATTTTTTTACATAATGCTTTGTAAAATTAAATATTCATATAAATATGAAATTCAATGTTAATACTTTTAACTATAATATTCATATTAAGATATATTCATAATAATGGTATTATGCATAAATAATTGCTTAATTGATTAAAAAAAAATTGATGTCTGTATAAACTTATTAACAATTTAAATGTATAGTTAATAAGTCATGGAAGATCTCTTTGTAAAATTATCATTTCATTAAAATATAAAATTTAATATTACTTTAAACTATAATATTTATATATATGTATCTGTACGAGTATATACATTTACAATTGTATTATACATAAGTAATTGTTTTACTTATTGAAGAAAAATTTTTCACTATTCATAGATTCATTATCTATCAATTTTAATTATTTATATAATTATAAATATAATATAAAAATTTTAATTAAATGTGCACGTGTAAATGTTATATGTCTATATTATAAAATTATACAAAGAAGTCAATATTCGATATTGAGAAACTAAAATATTACCTATGATATCAAAATGTATAAGTGTTAAAATTCTTACTGTGTAACAATTTATATAAGTGCTAAAAGTTGTAATTACCTATCGTATTTAAAAGCATGGTTAATATTTCATTAAAATCAAAAATATAATGTTCAACATTTTAAACAAATATATAATTCAACTTGAAACGCAAATTGTTTGTCTATAAAGGGTTAACAGTTTTATACTTATAAATTTAAAATTTAATTGTTTAGTTACTGATTTATTATTATTAAATAATCTATTGCTGGTTTTAATATTATAAATATGCGACCTCTTGGAAATGTATAGGTAAATATAGTATGTGTATTATATTTACCTTAGGGATATAAGGGTGAACCTAAGGGATAGAACCCTTAGGTTCACTCTCACCTACTAACTTAATAGTATGAGCTTGTCATGTAGCTTCATAAGAAGATATCAACATTTCCACATTGATAAGAACTTTGGTGGCTACTATCGTCTTTACAGTTTTCATCATATATTAATAAATTGAAATGTTTTCTGAAAAAAAAACAATGGAATAATGAGCTATATATAGATAGATGTCCATGAGTTTGTAATATTAATTGCAATAATCTAATAATGATTTCTAATATATAAAAATAGTTATTTGGGTTAGGTTAATACAATTATTCGAGGATACTGGAAACTACTTGGACTATCTGTCTACTATAGATTGAAAAATAAAGCTTAAGGATATGCTTGAAAAAAACTTCTGCAGCTAACTAAAGTTCATAGAGTACTAAAGTAGATAAATAAGCATATAATTGAGGTGCGCGATGCATCAATAGAACAGATTTCATACGCGTTATTCATTCTTCTTAGAACTACAATATAGTTCTACTAAAGGGTTAGCCTAGCTTTCTTTTTCAATTGCCTATAGCACTAGTAGCAAAAACATGAAACTTACTCCCAAATGCGTAAACTTGATGAGATCGTCTAACACTAGCATTTAAAAACCAGATCTTGGACAGGTAGTGGTTGTTGTTGTAGCCCGCTGGGACCTGTAAGCAGGTAACATGAAATAATTTACAAGATAAAGGAATAAGGACATTGGAATAGGAATAAGAGGCGAATTGGGCGATTGGGATTTAAATTAAACATAAACCCGTGTTCAGGCGGAGAATTCTGGTCACTTCAATGGGGTGGGTCCAAAGGTCATTAAAGGGTTAAAACTAGAGGATCTCTGTTTCTTTTAATATCAATTCAAAATTATATATTATTTATATTCATGGAATATTCTTTATTTAATAGTTGGTTGCTCTAGACAAAAAGTTAACTTATGCACGCCGACTCAAACGAATCATTAAATATTGTAATCAGAAGCTTCTGACATGAGTGTTCCAAAATCTACTAGGACTCACAAGCTCTAATTTAATTTCTGATAGACGTTTCAATTGCTTGTTGTTGAAGATTTTCTTTTTTTTCAATGAGTTATTTAATCTCGTCGGTGTCAAACTCATATGGGTACCAGAACGCAGTGACGTGTCGGAAATCTGTAAGGTAGACGATCTTACCAAAGCAGGAACATTGCTTTCCGATATTCACTTGTTGGTATTTACATTCCTTTTGAAGTGACTTACTTGCAATGGAATATAAATGTTAAGGTTGGTAAGGAAAACATAGGTAGTCGAAGACTTTTGTCACATCACAAAACTTACTTGGTCCGAATTACATAAAATCCTTACAAGTCGGCTGCTTCAACTGCTCACAATAAAAAATAAATTAATAATAAATTCAACAATAAATTAAATTTAATTTAATATAAAAGGTTCCGATATAGGTTAAATACGATATAATCTAATGATAATGAAAATAAACTATGAGTTTAAATCAAATTTTGTTTAAATTTTTTATTCATATTTAATTATAATTTAATTTTTAATATTACATTTTCAACATTTTTATGGAAGACAATTAAGTGACTTAAATTAAAGCTTTATGCGTTTTTATATAGTATTATATATTATAATCGATCCATTAACCATAAAACAATATCAACAATCAAATTTTGTTTTAAGGTTATTATTACATAGAAGATATACATATATAATTACATTTTAACAGTATTTTTATATAGGTATGTAATTATTTATGATCTAGAATTTATTTAAATGCATATTCTGATAAATTTATGTACTGAAAACATACACATCAATAGTACAGATATAATCCATGTGTTCTAGAAGTGGTTATAATTATTCCTGAGCTATTCGTTAATGTTGACCAAGTGCTTGAATAGTTGACTTGATTGAAGTGTATAGATAGTTAGAACTGTAGTTCGATATTTGAAAATTTTAGTTCTGTAAGAATATTTTAGGGTCATTTGTAGGTAATAACCTAAAATAAAAATTTTTTGAAAATGTTTATCCCAAATTATTTGTTTTAAGAAGTATATTCCTTCACATATGCTCTTCGTAGATTCAGCCTTGTTGATATATAGCTTCTACGGGCAACAGTAACTGATTTTAAGAATTACTTATGGTTCTTGGAAACTCAGGGTTGTTTATTTTCCCAAAGATTTAGGAATTATAAATATAACATCAGATCTGAGTATATAATCAGATTTTTCTAATTAGTTGTAATATTAACCTCAAAACCTCTACGCAAAATATAAATTACAAATAAATGTGTGCTTAGATATGCAATATTTAAACGCAAATAAATAACACAATATATGTATGTATATTTCATTCAAAAATAAATGGCTAATTCTAAAATATTATTTCCTTTTTATTCACTGAGGAGTTGTGAAACGTTGCTTAATAAATTTAAATATCTTTTTTTTAAAAACAAAAATCATAAATTGCATAAATACTTAATCCACAGCGTCTAATGTTCAGGTTCAAATAGTTTAATATTTCAAGTTGCCCATGCAAATGTATTTTATTTCCACATATTCATCAATACCATGATGACTGCCCTCACGACCAATACCGGACTCTTTAACACCACCGAACGGTGCTTCAGCTGCAGAAATTAAACCTTCATTCACACCGACCATACCTACTTCAAGTCGTTTGGCTACTCGGAATACTTGTTGTAAGTTCTCACTATAGAAGTAACCAGCTAAACCACGCCGAGAACTATTGGCTTTCTGTATTGCTTCTTGCTCATCTTTGAATTTTATAATCGAAACAACTGGACCAAACACTTCTTCAGTGTAAATTTTTGCAGCTGGACTTAGATCTGTGACAATTGTTGGTGCATAGAAGAGTTCACCGTGTTCTGGTAGCGCTTTACCTCCAGTTATAATTTTGGAATTATGTTTACGTGCATCGTCCACAAATCCACTTACCTTATTAAATTGCATTTTATTAACTAGTGGACCAATTTGCACACCATCACCGTCACCAGCGCCAATTTTCAAATCTTCAACACGTTGTTTTATTAACTCAACAAAGCGATCGTAAACACCTTCTTGTACAAAGAAACGATTGGATGACACACAAGTTTGTCCACAATTACGAAATTTAGATATCATTGCGCCATCTACTGCCTTTTCCACATCAGCCGAATTAAACACAATAAATGGTGCATTACCACCCAATTCTAGTGATATGCGTTTAATGCCATCAGCACAGTTTCGGAAAAGCATTTTACCGACTTCAGTTGAGCCTGTAAAAGAGATGCCTTGTACATCGGGACTCTTACAGAAGAGATCACCAACAGGTGCCGCCTTATTTGTTGTAACAACATTTATGACGCCTAGAAGAGATTGGAAAATTATTTTAATTTTTAATTATTTTAAAATATTGAAATAAAATTAAAAATATTGTCTAATGATGATAATATAAATAATATATAAAATTAAAGGTAAAGATGAAGGCTATAGAAATGTGACATCAATCTCAAACAATGTTTTAGGTATAATACTTTTTTTGGGAGAAGCCTATTTAATGCTCTTATATGAAGAAGACACATAGGTATCAATTTATGCTTCGGCACTTTTCCGAATTGAGAGACGTATTGCTTGTGCAGCAGGAACTTTACTCAATTGAGGTTATTCTACTGAAAAGTTACTTGTCTCTTATAAATACGTCCGCAGTCAATGTTTCCATACATCCACGTTTCATTAATTGTAGCGATATGATGAAGGAAGGAAATCAGCGACATTTTTAAATTCGTAAATTTACCTTTCACTTGAATTTACCACCAAACGGCGTTTGTCTGGAGATAAAAGACTTCTTACCCTTGATCAATTGAGGTCAGGATATAGCTTAACAATAATAACTGTTGGGACGTATATATAGTCACGTATATATACGTCCCAACAGTAGCTTTACTCTACATAACATGCCCTGTTTTCATGCCCCAATGCTCACATACATTTGAGCTCTAACTTGTGGTTTCTTTCTATTGAAATGGATT